GCCGTGCTTTAAGGACACTGAGGAGTGATAAGATAATAAACAGTAGGATAAGGGAATATCAGTCATGGCCAACAGCAGCATGGTCCCTGGTCACCACATTTGTCATCTTTCTTTGCCTCCTCTTTGCCTGGTCAGAGTCTCAGATTTTCGTTTGCTGTGGAATCAATTTCTCCTTTGGCTGTCTTCTGGGTCATAACTCACCAGTTTGAACTGTCTGCTTCTGAAGTACAATCTAAATGAGACTTGCAGCTTTCCTATGGCTAGGTCCCATTTTCCTATGCTAAATTCCTGACAACCAATGATTCTTAAGAGCTGTCTATCTTTTGACAGGCAATATTTTTTTCTGATTAAAAAGAAACCCTGTTACTGTTCTATAATTATTTTAGTTGCAGTTATCCCAACTCACCCCTCCTTTCAGGCATAGGTTTGCCCTCAAAGTAGAAGTGTCAACAAACCATCAATAAACCTTGCTGCTCCATAGTGGCTTACGGAAAAAGAAGGGAATGCTCCCAGCTCTTCCTGAAATACATTCAAAACAATATTGACTGAGTGCTAGCAAAGTATGCTTGCTTCTCTGGCGCTCAGGAAGTTTATGTCTGACTTTAATTCCAAATGAGCACCCGCCATCAAACCCAGACATTCCGATCCACAACACAGGTTCCAGCACTTTGGCCCTTAGCTGCTGCTTTTTAGTTGCTAGAGATTCTCTTCTGCTTAACTCTCTTCTCTAGACATACAAGCTAACCAGAATTTCCCAGGTTCTATAATAAAAAAGAAGAAACTAACGTGTGTAGTGCTTCAAGCGTGGGGATAGGGGGAGTAGGGAGCCTCTTGTAGACAACAGGTCTGAATTTACACTTCTGCCCTCCCTTCTCTCTGGCCATACAGTTTAGGCACTCCTAATCACGAGTAGCCAGACTGAAGGCTTTCTTATCACCAATATGTGTTATGTACACAACAGCTAGCACATTGTCATGATGGACTCCGTTTGCAGGAGAAGCGAAATTGAAAAAGAAAATGGGCATATTATAGAGGTATATACCGAACTAATGTCATTTCTTTTTTGACAGCGTTGCTGGAATGGTAAATCAAAGAATGCCAGGGTGTGTCAGGATTTCAACAAAGTGACCCATGATACTTTTTTTAGATGGAAAGGAGAAATGTAGGCAGAATGATAGCATGCTCTTTTCTGGTTGAGCAAGCATGCTCAAAGAGGGCTGATGAAGAACTGTTTTTCAATATAGACAGGGTTCTACAAAGGGCTTGCCACAGAGCTTTGTATCTGCTCTAGGCCTTGGTGTGGGAACTTGACGTCATTTGTTCTTGAAGCTCCACAGATGATTCCAACGTGTAACCAAGGAGGAGAACCGCTAGTACAGGATAGGCGGTTCACATACTATCCTCAATACTATTTTAAGCCTTCAGATAATCTTCCTGATACCGATAACTGTCTTCCAAAGATCCCGTGTTTGGTACGGTTTCACAGATGCTTAAAGCAAGGGTAGAAAGAGAACACTTAAAGTTCATCTTAACTAGGATAAAGGTCTGGAAAATTACACAGAAAAAGGGCTTCATCCACAGGGTCCAGGAGGGACCTCAACTGGATGTCACTGAGACGTTTCACAAACACCAGAATCCCTCAAAAGCCATTGACAAGAACAGCCCCATTATGTGGAATGCGAAGTTAAAAAGAGGCACTCTCTCAGTGCTGAGGAATAAAAACAACAACAAACCAAAGATTTGTTTTATGGAAATGATTGTGCCTCCTTATTTAGAATCAGGTCATTATAATCACAGGTTTATAAAAAGATAACTTCAAATTAACACAAAAGTTGGGGAGATGAGCAGTGTACCAACGTTTGATTTGCATATCCACAGGGAAAGTTCGATTTTAACTCCAGTCACTTTGGCAAACAAAAAGAACAAGGCACTTTATTATTGGAGGCTTCACTAAAAATGTCCGTGGGTCACAGAACGAGGCATCCAAGGCCAATTACGTTGAGTGCAAAGACTTCAGGTAGTGAGGAACTTGTCTCTTCTCTGTCTCTGGAAGGGTATCAACCTCATAACATCGGCACAGTTAATAACTCTCTGACCTTTAAAAGGCATTTTATGAGCAAATTAGGTCAATTAGTACAGAGCAATTTACATTAAAAAAAATCCCAACCACTTTATAACTGGGGGGGGGGTCGCTAATTCCTTGCATCAGTGGTATGTTAACAGGCAATATTTCAAGAGGGTTTGCTCAGTTCCAATGGACGCAACAAAGACACAAAAAAAGCCACAGTGAAATGCAAACAGCCTTCGAATGTACAGCCCCAGATTTTACCTTTAACCTCTGCTGCTCAGTGTTACCTGTTCATGGTCATTTATACTAAACGGTGGAGGACTCTCCACTGCTTGAAGGGATGTGAGCATAGTCAGTGTGGAAGGGAAGTTCTTGGGGGAAGTGGGGAATCCGATCTCCCTTCATGAATGGGTAAAAAGTATTCGAAGGATCCTTTCTCACTTTTCTATTGATATATAAATCCCCTCCCCCATTCTCCTTACAATGAGCTACACACTGTGCTAGGTGTTTACATGCATTCTTTCATTTAGTTTTCACACTAACTCTGCAGGAGAGATATTGTCCCCATTTTACACACAGGAAACAGGCTTATAAAGGTTTTGAATGACTTGCTGAAGGTCACAGAGATGGCAGGTTGTGGAGCCGAGACCCACGCAGTTTTGCCTGACTCTGTGGGCCAAATGCTTTTCATATCAACGTGCTAGCCTTCACTCTACCACTCTGTCTCCCTTCCACTTCCTTTCTTTTTTTCCTCCTCAAAGCCCAAAGAGGTGGATGAGTGGTGGTCTTGGAAGGATTTTAAAGAAAGAAGGGCTAAGCCAGTTCTCTTTTATACCTCTCCCAAAGTTCTGCGATTTTCAATTTCCCCACACATGGCTTGGTCACCAGGATCCAAGAAAACACAGGCTTCCAACAGGGTCATGGTATATCTTTTTCTGTCCAATCTCTCCAGGGTTTCAGTGACTACATTTTTCAAATTCCAAATCAGGGCATATAGCCGGGAACACTGGCTTTTATTTAAGAGAACGTGAGGACAACATATCTAAAATCAAAACTTAAAAGGTCCTTGTGGCGCCTGGCAGACAGATAGAGGGCCGGCACCATACGGACTTGGTGACTGAGTCATTGGAGGTGGATCACACATGGAGAGGAAATCTTTGTCAGTGGAATTCAACCGGGTGGTCTTTCTGACGAATCTTTGTGTTACAGCCTTAATGTAGGCTTCCTGAACCTGGTGGCTTGTTAATCGACAAGTACTTATTTAGATACAAGGCTGTGGATCCTAAGAGACAAGCTGTTAATTATTAGCTCTAATCCTAGGCTAGAAGATGCCCATAAAGATGAAAACTTGTTTCCTTTTTTCTAACGACCAACAGCCTAGCTGAAGAGCGATCAACTGTAATTGGGGAACGAAGAAGGTAATAAATGCATTACTGAGACCGCTTGCTTTACAGAGCCATTGATTTAATCCTTAAATTTTGCAGGTTGTAAATTACTCATTAGAAGGCAGAAAGCAAAATAGCCATAATCCGTTTAGTGCCTCCAAACTCCAAAGACTTAGAGGAGGAAATCCATGGAAACAAGAGACCTGATGTGTTCTTTCACTGCTACTTCTTAATGGGCAAAGGTGGTTAAACAATAAGGACAAGCCCATGTAATTACCCTGATGCGCCGGTCCATAGGTCAGGGGTGGGCTTGATTCAATTCACGGAGGGCTGACCCACAAATGGTGGGAAAATGCCCCTTCTTTTTCCACTCAGCCGCGTCGTACCTCCAGATTGTTTCATGAGACCAGAGCAACAGCCCATAGCATTCATTAGGGCATTCACTCCTATCTGTTATTTTCTAATCAGTGCCGGGACTAGCACAAGAGGCCAAGTACCAGAGAGAAATTAGAAGGGGGCGAAGAGGAGGCTGTCCCCCTCTCCATACATGGGGAATGCAGCTCCCAATTACAAAATGTTCAACTGCAAAATAACTAGATAATTAGTCTGTACGTTTCTTTACATGTACAGAAAGCCACATATATTTCGCTTGAATATGGACCTTATAAGCTTAACGTGTAAACACTTAACCATTTACTAATGGTTTTTATATATACTAAGGGTAAAATTCAATTTTAGACGCTTAGTGGTAATGAAGCGAACAGTATGCAGGATGCCTTCGACACTGGCACTCTGCACGGGTTTTGAGATCAGAATTTGAATCAGTGCATATTTCCTTTTCTCAATAGTGTGATGCCCTTTATATATTGGGTATATAACATAGCTTCTGGCTCACCTTTAGGCTTTATTCAACAAAACAGCTACTGGCTCCCTTCTGTACTGAGCAACCTCTGATTTTGCAGTAGCAAACTGAGTTACCCAACACAAACGATTTCCATTCATTTTCTACTTGACAGTCTAATAAAGTTTGTGATGTCACCAGGCTGTGTCTATCTTGTGTTCCATTCACTACCCACCACGCTGCTGTTGCTCAATAAATCATTACTGATAATGAAACAAAATCTAATTTAAAACATTATAGCTGTTCTGGAAATGTGTTTATTTACTTTGTTAAAGTAATTATAAAGTAAGTGTTTCCTAGATAGATCATTTAACCATGGCGTGTGATAAAAATACTGTTTTCTTCCCACATCTTGCTTTAAAAAAAAAAAAGCTACATTTTTTTTAACAGCAGAAAGCTATACTAAAGAATTTTAAAGACCCCTGGCATTAGAAATAGCGATATCGAAGCATTTGAAATAACTGTTGAGACATCTTAAGAGAAACAGGAAATAACTCCTAGTAATTTTGAAAATTATAACTTGAAGCTTCTAGGTCACTTGTCCCATGAAAGACCCCATTCTGGCCACTTTTAGTGGAGACAAGAAATGACATTTGGCTTTTTCCCTTTCCTGGGGATGAAGTACTTGAGTTTTCTTTCGACTTACCCTGAGTGGATTTTCATTAAGGTAAGGGGGTTCACCTTCTACCATTTCAATCGCCATAATCCCCAGAGACCAGATATCAACTTTTGGACCATAAGCTTTTCGAGTCACCACCTCAGGTGCCATCCAATAGGGAGTTCCCACCATAGTGCTTCGTTTACTCTGCTCAGGGGTGATCTGGGCACAGAACCCAAAATCAGCTGCAGAGAAGAAAAGTCAGTTAAAATCAGCTCAATTTATTTTTCTTTTACAAGAGGTCACTTTCAGATATGGCCATACTTTCCTTTAGTTAGACTCTGAACTTCTACAACTGCCTGGCTCATATCCTTCTGTTACCTGACCTCTCAGCTGGTCCAGATTTCAAACAGGTCTGAAATAACCGACTGATGTGATGTCATTTTTACTAGACCTCAATCTGGTTCCCTCCCCACACTGTTCCCTCTAACTTACGGAATCTTTTCGTTTTCTAATTAGGTATTTGTCATCCAGCAGATGGAAGCCATTAGAAATTCTGAACTATCGAACCCCCTAAATCTGGTCACGATCTACAGGAACATAACATTAGAAAAATTCTTTACCTCAAACTGGGCTCTAAATGCCTTCAAACCTGTCACTTTTAATAGCCCTTTTCTTCTCAAGATAGACAGTAAAAGAGTAGAAATCCCCTGACACTCTCTCAAATGCCGTCTGAACCATAATACCTACTCAATTTAACAGAGCCATCCATCCCAAGGAGAATATTGTCACTCTTTATGTCTCTGTGGATCACTTGGTTTGAGTGCAAGAAATCCAAAGCTTGGAGGCACTATTGAATCAGGAAAAAAAAGTTCTAATTATATCACAAAAATTTGTTTAGATGTGCTTCATTTCTAGATAAATTTTGGGCAAGGGTATAATTTTATGTTGTTGGGTGAAATAAATTACTAAAGGTTTTCAATGCCATTTTGAAATCATGTTACCATTTACATCAGTGATGCAACTTAGCGTTATACATGTGAGAGCTCCCGACTCAGACTTGGACATGAAGAGTGATGGTGTGATAAGTAGCACTAAATCATTAATACAGCCACATGATCCAATGACTATAATCATACTTTGACTTACTTATCTGGAGGATGTGGATTCAGCTCGGTCGTTTACAGATACAGTAAGCATCTGCATCTGTGGTGTGATTTCATGTAGTAGGTCTGGAGTGGAACCCTGGAATCTGCATTTAAAACAAGTGCCCCAAGCTATTTCTGATGGACCAACCGCCAGGTTTGGGAACCACTTCTAGGCTCTGAAGTAACTATATAGGTACTCGTTTGGAAATGGCTTTGCATTGTAATACTAAAAGACGGAAACCACAGGCTAAAGGTTGAAGAATCCCCTGAATATTTTAAGTTTGATTAATTGCATGAATAGGAAATATATGTGTTTGTTGGATATGTGTGCATACTGGGAAGGAGGAAATTTAAGTGAACAATTTAAAATAAAAAAACAACAAAAGACCCGCTGGAAGTATTTGGTTTTGTTTTACTATCATTGATTTTCAAGTTTCAGTGGGTCAGAGTTCCTCCCTGTGTCTATAGAAAACCTCAACGAATGGGGTAGAGGGTAACACCCAAGATGAGACTCCAATGAGGAGTGTTTTTTTTAATATTGAAAAAATGAATATAATAAAATATCCTTTGTTTAGCTTGAAACTAGGGATATGCCACTGTTATTGGAAAAGAGGCAGACGCTCAGACTCACTGGAGGGCTCCATGGGAGGTGAAGATTGTACTGTGAAAGCAACTACTTTCTGGACTGAGGGAGGACCTTGTTTAAACTGCCTTCTAGAAAAGGATTGGATTATAATGTGGTCTATGTTATACATGGATTACATTGCACGTGCAAGGCAAAATAACTGTCATGTAAAAATTCCCCCCAGTCAGAAAGAAGTTCCATGCCAACGTTACTGTTTTCCATATTCACCCAGACTCCAGCACGCAGGCTTAGATATGGTACCTCGTGAATGGCATAATAGAACTCAAAAAGATCCACAGCAAAGCAGCTAAAATAAACAAAGGGGCTGGGGAGGGAGGGTTAGGATTTAAATTGGAGTTAAGCTCTTCAACTGTTTTTTAGTACAAAAGATGTACTATTGCTACTTTGACGTTACAAACATTCTGAATAATCAAAGATAAAAAACTGTCAATCTTGGTGTTCTCATCAACCAGAGAAATGTTCTATTTTCTTACCTCTCTGCAGACGGCTGCTATCTGTCCTTCATCCATACAGGTCTCTGTGACCACATCAGTCAAAGAGCCACCAGCCAAGTATTCCATGACTACCCATAGTTCATCACCCACTAAGTAGCTACGAGAGAAGAAAAAGACGTTGACTCAGGCCTAAGGAAGTGGAGACCCTTCTATATTTCCATTAAGAAGGGAACGTGCAGTTAGTCTCTGCTTTCGGGCACATTACATAACAAGAGGAAAATATCAATAACGCGTATGAGACACTTCCTTAACATTAGAAGAGAATATGCATGGAAATCAAAGGATCATCAGATAAAAGTGCACCATGGAAGGAAGGAAAAGAGCAAGGAGGCCTCTGGTGACTGACTACTGTCAATCCTTCCATTGTAAAAAGCTAGTTTCAATGAACAGGATCAGTGAATAGCCCTTTTGGATAACTCAAGCCACAGTGTTGATTTCTTGGACTGAACTGACCCATGGCATACAGTCTTACAGGATAATTTATTCAGATCTCAGCATTATTTTTGATTCTACTCAATTAATTACAGAAATCTTTTCAGGTAGTGGCTGAATCAAAGAGAATCAAAGAGACTCATGTTGGCAATGGATTTACTGGGCTGAGGTCTCTGTTCTGATAGAAGTCAGTTATGACATGCCCATTATCTTGAAGTAGTTATTGAGGGACACAGCCCAAGTGATCAAATGTGGAGAGGCAGGTCACCAGAGCAATGTGGGCAAATTCAAACCCCTGGGATCATCTGAAGGCACTTTAGCAGTATGATCAGGTCTCTCTCTTCCCCTGCTCAGCAAGAGAGAGAAATTACAGTGAATGGAATGACCCCGACAATTCTACCCTGCCCCCAGCTTAACGTCAGTATGAAGCAAGCCTTTCTATTCAGTGGTGCTCAAACTGCAGTGCCCGTAAGATTCACCTGGGAAGTTTGTTCAAAAGGAAATTTCTCATTAAAATTCTCATTTCATAAAAATGAAATATCTCATTAGTGATGGAGAACAGCCTAGAAATCTGCATTTTTTAGAAATGCGGTTTTTACAAAATTACAAAAGTAGAGTGAAGTCACTCTGCTGCAGATGGTCCCTAAATGACACTTTATGAAACCCTGATTTCGACTATAAAACCTGACCCTCCTTCGTTTTGCCCCCCTTTTGCCTCCTTCTGTACCACTCACTGGTCTACTTGGCACAAAACACAGAAAGCAAGATCTGAAACTCACTGAGGTTGTAGACCTGGTCTTGTTTCCTTTGTATCCCCTCAGAGTACACAGCACAGTGGTGCTAAAAAAACACTTATTGAAACTGAATGAGACAGATGTTAAACCACAACTGAAGAGTTAGTGCTGTCTTTAAATGCCTATTAATAACCCACTGCTAATACCACTGATGAAAGAGACATTAATTACCCGGTCTAGGAAAAAGGTTTGAGATTAAAGTCTCAATTCCCTAGACCTCACTGTCAATTCATCACAAAACACCCATGAAAGCAGGGCCATTGTAGTCTGCCTCCTTTACTTAGATAGCCAGAGACTGCACTGACTCCAAACAAACACTTGATGAAACGTTTCAAACACCACAGCTCTCTCCTATATGCAATAGCCTACTTCCTGGCAATAGGGGGTCACAATCCTCAAAAGGAAATTACACAAACTGCTCATGTTTAGAAGCAAGACCATAAAATGTGTCTTCAAATGTTTAATGCGTGGACACAGATAACTGGGTGCAAGTTTAGCAATAGATCTGATACTCAATATTCTGTAGCATTCGAGAACTATTTGTAGAATGGATGCTAAATGAATAGATCCTAAATAAAAATAATTGGCCAAGAAAATGATATCCCATAAAGAAAACAAGTACATGATGAGAGAAAACACTTACCTATCTAAATAATTAACAATATTGGGGTTCTTATTTTCCCTCATGACCAGAATTTCATTAATAATTAATTCCTTTTTGGGTTGCTGTTGAAGGTTCATCTGCTTTATGGCCACCTGAATAATGATTAAAATGCAAGAATGAATTACCATCATCTGACTGAACACAAACATCCATATTTTTTGGAAACAGTGTCAGGCATACAGATTCTTTATTTTACTAAGCTCTTCCTCGATGCCACAAACCCACGCTCCTTTTCTTTGGTCAATCATGAATTCGTCATTCACTTCAGATACTCTGGACGCCAGTGAAGTAAACATATGTCAACTCAGTGCTACCCGTTTTTTCAGGCACAGATGCCGTCGAAGAGGAATTCTGATCAATAGGAATAAAGGAAAGTAGAAGTCAGAATGGAATGTTAACACTTACCTCTTGTCCTGTGGCGATGTCTAGCGCTGTATAAACAGTACCTGATGCCCTGTGAAAGTGAAAAGGATCAAATGAACAAACAATCAAAGTGTTATCAATGTATTTGATTTGGAATTACATGTAATCATTTCCAGGAGAGGGAAATCAGAAAACTCAAGATGAAGGATGAAGTACAAAAGGAACAACCACTTTGTATAGTAATTGCTCCCCAAACTATCATGATGTATCTCTTTTGGTGGGCCAGGAGCTCCAGTCAGATTTCCTGTGTGCCACGGAACTAGGCAGTCATAAATTGAGCAAAATGGCCTTGTTCCTTTCAGGAATTATATCATCTTTTGCTTCGGCAACTGTAAATTAATCTTTGTTTTTAACATATGGACAGAGTGGCTTTTTTCATATATTTCTAATTCTTAAGAATATCTTTGTCTAACAAATGAATCACTCCCAGTACAGGTACTTACTGCACTTACCTGCACTGTAGCTATACAAAGCAATAACAATGTGGCTTTATTGTTGAGCCATTTTGTTCTTTTTGTTAAATTTCGCAACAGCTTCTATGCTTAGGTTTCACTCCAGCCCACTATTGTCTTAAAATCTATCATTCCTTAAGTCTTAGTAGTACTCATGCTTCTATTCTAACTTCAATTACGGGGTTCCCTTGCTTTGAAAATAGAAATTGTCTAGTAAAGCTGAATTCACAGTAACTTCCTGTGAAACACACATGCATTCTGAACTACCTCCCTACCCCATCCCCATGAAAAAGGAAAAGCCTAGTCAATTGCATTGAAACATTTGTGGTGAATAAAGGAATTAGGATAGAGATCAGTTCTATGATTCAGCAGGCATTGTAATGCTGCTACAGTTAAGATCTAAACTTTCTGATAATTGCTGTTTCTCCTTTGCTTTTTATTTATCTCCCTTGCTGTTTTGTTTTCTGAGTCCAGGAGGTCTTTCCTTATGTCACCCATTTCCTTGTTATTCTTCTCCCTTCTCCCTGGATTGGCCAAACTACTTCTCACAGGCCTAGGAAGTTTACATTACCTGCTCCTAGGGAATAAAATGGGTGGCGTAGTAGAAGGAATATTTGACGGCTAACGGAGATCTGAGTTCTAATGTTTGCCCTAATATCAACAAGCTATATGATCTTGAGGTAGTCACTTCCCCTTTCTGGGTTTCAGTCCCCTCCCTTGGAATATAGTGATCACAGTAACAGTAAACGTGTGTTGAGCGTGTTGTGCGTGTCAGGTACTACACTAAGAGCTTAATCTTACGCAATCCTTACCATGTTTCTGTAAGGCAAGTGCTTTCACCCCCATGTTACACATGAGGAACCTGAGGCTCAAAGAGGTTAAGTAATCTGCCCAAGGTTATATAGTTTAAAATCCAAGTCCAGCTGACTCTCTGACCTATAAAATACAGGAAAGGGGCTACTTCATTTGTAAGGTTCTTTTATTCCACGGTCTAGAATCTAAGAACTCTACTGTCCTCCTCACTCGGTGTGGGTATTTAAATATCTATTGGAATGAGAGTGAAAAATCACAATTAACAGATGCTACCTAAATTTGCTAATTTCAGACATTCCTTAGGATTGAGGCTTATATTAAACAAATCAGTCTCAAGTTTATGTTTGAGATTCTGGGTTCAGAGCACATATTTGGTGCTCAAGAAGTATTTGTTCAATGAACAAACTAATAAAAGTCTTTGCAAGCAAACATGTAATTGAAATAAAACCGTTCCTTTCTGTGAAGGAAACATTTCTTCTACTTAAATCTACAGATAAGCTATCAGACATTCCTGATTTCAGAGGCCAGTTTGTGATTTGTCCTTCTGAATTCAGAATTGCCTGGGTTCAAAGGAATAGATCACCTCAACCTGGTGTGTATTTCAGCTGCATAAGCCCTGAGCAACTACTTAAATCTATTTGCAGAATGATTCAAAAATGCCTTTACTTGGTTTATTCCTATATCTGTAGCCAACTTGCACAATTCCTTCCGAGGCAAAAAAATTGATGGCATCTGCAAAATGAGCACCTATCTCATTGGGCTACAGAGAATCGAATGGCACAATCTATATAAGCATTTAGCCTTGTGCCCAGATCAGAGCTGATACTTAATAGGGTAACTGCTATTTAAAATTTTTTTAAATTTTATGTTGAAGTACAGTTGACTTACAATGTTCTGTGAGTTTCAGGCGTACAGCAAAGTGATTCAGTTATACATATACATGTATCTATTCTTTTTCAGATTCTTTTCCCATATAGGTTATTCCAGAATATTGAGTAGAGTTCCCTGTGCTCTACAGTATAGGTCCTTGTTGATTATCTATTTTATATACAGTAGTGTGTATATGTCAATCCCAAACTCCTAAAGGTTGGGGGGGGGGAGATGGCAATATTATCATTTGTCGCTGCCACTGCTGTTATTGGTTTCACAGTAAAGGATGACATTTACTGAGTCGTTAGTTGGCCCTTCCCAATCTCCCAGCCAAAATATCCTTGCTAGTGTCTGCCCCTATTTTCAAAAAGGACAAAGGCCAAAGCTGACCTATTTGAACACTTTTTGGAGCTCCTCCGTCCTTTTCCCCCCGTTAGAAAAGTGGTTTTGCCTTTTTCTTTAAGTATGGAATGTCTTTATCAAATGAAGCCGCACGCAGAAACCCTCAATATAAAATGGGAGCTGTTCAAGTTAAAGCTAGGGAGGGAAGCTCTAAATTCCTGCCCAAGTGGCCTTCCCCTTATTCAACCCCTCTGCCCCCCACCCCCAAGTCCATTTCCACTGGCCTAGGAGCTAAAATTGCGATTGACTTAGAGTACAAGGGGGATTAGTCTTTAGCATCTCCAGAGCTTTACCTTTCAAATCCTTGTTTTTTTACTCCCCACCTCCCTCAGCATTTCATTGTCTTAAAATTGTTAGAGTACTAACCCTGGAATCCCAATAGCCAGGGTTTTATGGCATTCTGTGGTATAGAATTGCCACAAATCCCCACTCCACAGGAGTTTAAAGACCCTGAAACTCTAGAACGTAGGTTATTAACTCAAAAACGAGCTTTTCTCCTCACTTCCCCTTCCTCCACCTTATTGCATATATGCCCTTGTTGGGTGGGAACCATTTCCCCCTTCCCCCCAACTCTTGTTCCCAGTCTTATAACGGTGATATCCTCCCCTAGCCCACTTCGCACCGCCTATCCCCACACCAAACATGTTGTTAGGCATTTGGAATTCACTGCTCTGACCAATAAGTTATTGATTGGCCCAACTTCCAGCCTACGTAGAATCCTCAACACAAATGCACAAACTCAGGTACGAATCCGCAGAGTAGAACTTAGTGTCAGCACTCCTAGCACTTCTCTGCACCCCAGTTCTGATGCCTGTCCATAGCAATTTAAGCAATTCAGCAATTTAAGATTCAACTGGTATAAATGTGAATCTCTCTCATTCTCTTATTCACCTACTAAAGCACTTTTTGGCCGCTGAGGGCTTAAGGAAGTAGGCTTCATCCCCATCTACTCAAACCTCCCTGGGTTCATATCCTCCACCCAATTCCTAGTTGTGTGATCCTGGGTAAATAATTTAACCTCTCTGTGGCTCAGGATTAAAGGAGGATTAAATGTGTACAGTGTTTAAAACCAGTTCTGGCATATAGTAATTGCCTAACAAATAATAACAATAATAATACTTATCATTATTATTAGGTTAATTGCTACCTAATATATTCATTAAGTTCCCAAATTGCAATCTGTGGATCACTATAAATCTTTTTAAGTATCTGGCAGTTTCCAAGATATCTTGGTATTTCAAATTCATAACAGAAATTTGATATTTACCTGAGATGAAGCTAATTAAAATATCACATATATTTCCTTTTAGCTAGAATTATATCAACTTGTGATTACAATATATATCTCATGCTGGTCAAATTCTTTAAGTAGCAGTTATATGTTTTTTGTTTTGTTTTTTTGCTTAATAAAGTATGGGAAGTAAACTATAATAAAATATAGTTTAATAGTTATTATTATTCACAATGTGGAGTTCACAAAGACAAATAATTGAAGGAATCCTCGGTGGGGAAGTTGGGAAGTACTCTCCTTATAATAGGTGATGCACAGTAGTGTGTACTCCCAAAGAAACAGTCTTTGAGCCAACAAGATGCCACAGTAATTCCCAAAAGACAAGTTTTGCTACAGCTGGGGTATGTTGAAGTATCTCAATGGGTATCTTTATAAAATCTGTCAGTCACTTTAATAGAAAAAAGTCAGTATCATGCAGCACTTTAGGCAGTAAGGATGGCAGAAATCAAACAAAGATGGCAGTTAAAACGAATTCTCTGGTGTATTGGGGATGGTGTGCTAAAATGGTCAAGACCGTCAATTTGATTTTTATGCCATTTAATTACATTGATCCCTTTTATCCTTCACCGCGGGCTGCTCATTGCGGTGGCTTCTCTCATTGCGGAGCACGGGCTCTAGGCGCTCGGGCTTCAGCAGTTGTGGCACGTGGGCTCAGTAGTTGTGGTGCACGGGCCTAGTTGCTCTGCGGCATGTGGGATCTTCCTGGACCAGGGCTCGAACCCGTGTCCCCTGCATTGGCAGGTGGATGCTTAACCACTGCGCCACCAGGGAAGTCCTTCATTGTAGTTATGCTGAAGCCAAATTACTATAGGGAGAACATTTGTTTATGATGGGGATTTTGTTTATTCCAAACCTCAGTCCTTCAGACGGTATAAAGAAATCATGCCTCATCAGGACTCAAGGGAATATAGAGATCATCCAGTTTAATCTCCTCACTACAGATGGAAAATCTGAAGCACAGAGAGCTGGGGGGTACGCCCAAGAGGACACAGCTAGTAAGTAACAAAAACCTCCTAACTTTGAGCAAGAGATCTTTTGGTGAACCTAGGAATTCAAATATTCAATTCAATTCAACCGTAACTGAACTACGATTCAAGAACGTTAAACCAACAGATTGCTCAACCGTTGGGCCTCATCAGCAATTACAGTGTGATGTATACTGCTGGCATCACATTACATGCTTTATCAACAGTTTCTCCCTGA